CTCATCGGTGTAAACAAGGGAGGTTGAGTTTCTGTTAGGTACAGAAAGTCAGCTGCTATATCTCCAAGCGATACTTCGTTTAGCTCACTTATCCAAGGTTGGGACTACACTTACAGTTACCTTATGCGAACTTGATCGAACCTCTTCGATAGCTACACAGTTTTATGTAGTCTCCGGAGAATCATTCGGTCTGAAATGGCAATTTTTCGATCAGTGGCAAAACAGCGATCTCAATCGGATTCGGTTCAACGAAGGTCTGACATCTATCTCCGTCATGGTCCTAATTTCGAAGCATTGTAATAGAACTGCAACTCTGCTTGCTAGTAGCTGAGTAGCGATATAGCTTAGTAGCTGAGCAACGGATAGTATCAGTCCAAAAGGTAACTAAGATGATTGGATCCTGTTTTTAGAATAAAAAGGGCAAGAAATGGAAGAAATATCTTTTTCTTCTACCACTTTAACAGGAGCTATTTTCCTCTAAAAAAGAAGGTCGGATAAAGTGCACATTTCAAGGTTAGATTACTCTATCTGTTCTTCTCTTCACTAAACTGGTGCCGTTTTTGAACCAGATGAGGGGATTCCCAATTTTTCTTCAGTACTAGGAACAGTATGGCGAGCTGTCAGATTATTTTGCAGTGAGCAGACCGTCATGGTACAGAGCCGTAACAAGTGCAACTGATAGTTAAGCTCACCAGTTAATATTAGGTGTGCATTAATTTCCGCCGTTTTCCGCGTGCAAAAACATACTTATTACAAAATTAAAACCAAATGTACATTAAGCAATGTATTGCCCATCGCTATCTACAACTTCTGCCACCTTTCTTGTAATTTGTTGATTCCGAGGCTGAAAGGTTTTTATCTTTCAAGGCAATCCAGTCATCCACCTACATATTTTCGCACTTCTTCGGCATTCCTGAAGTTCCCTTCGGGCTCAGTAGCTCACGGCACACAACACCCTTTTGATCCCACTACCAAATGCGCACACAGCATTATTTTTTGGCAATGGACATTCCGCTTTCGTTGCAAACTGTCGAGTGAAGAGAAACGATCTCAGCAGGTTCGTTCAGATGAAGCTTGTCCTCCATAAAAGCATCCGGTGGGCTTCAATGCCAGTTTTCTTGAAATCAAACAGCAAGAGAAGGGCCCCCCGGGAAAACGGTTCATCACGTTCCATGACTAATCAGTCTGAGAGCAACGGGATAAACTGATCTGTCTGCCTTTAAGTAGGTGGCCAATACCCTGTCTTACAGAATATGACAGTTTTCACCGGTAAACTTCTAACATGGTTCGCGCAACGAGACTTCGAATTCGGCGGCGGAAATTAATGCACACACCTGGTATATGCATACAAATATATCAAAGTTATAAGAAACTAAAACTCTCAAAAGACTTTGTTCGTTGTTGTCATTTTCTGTATTCCGTTATTGTAGTCCACTGAGATCCTACATCACGCTGATTATCAGCCCTTATCAGCGGTTATTAACAATGTCACCAACAACGCGCAATCTTGAAGAATCCCACATCACCGGTTAGAAATCATCTCTCCACTATCAATTCAATAGGGCGTAACCGTCTTATCGGCTCCTGCCTTCCATGGATCTTTTATAAGCCTAATCAGTTGTTATCAGATTATTAGGTGTTTTCATTGCGGTAACATCCGCACTTATTATTTGACCAGTCGGATCGCTCGGCTAACGCCAGCTCTACTCTTTCTTGTTTCAAACACCCTATTCCGAGTAATGTTGAATTCGATTCGACAAGACGGTTATGTACGTGCAATGATAATGATGATACGAAATCGGGTAATGCCAGATTTCCCTCCTTCTTATAACAAAGTGGTAATAATGGGCTAACCCGCCACTGCTTCTTCATAATAAATGGTGTCTTCACGTACACAAAATTTGACAAAGGACCAATAGGGCAGTGTCAGTGTATTTAGTATGTGCTGATGTTTAGGTCTATAATTGAGGTCTCGATTCATTGGCATCTTTCATAGTCCACGACCGGTCGCGCGACCAGTCGCTAGCGACCGGTCGCGCGATCGATCGCGCGACTGGTCGCGCGACTGGTCGTGGACTATGAAAGATGCCATTGCTCTTCATCTCAAAGACATGTCCCAATGACGGCAAACTGACTGACAACTAACGTCTTGAATGGAACTCACAAATGTTGTCGAGTGATAATGCCGCACATTATCAAATTGGTTATCAGCGAATTTATCTAGGCTACGGATTTATCACCAATGAGAATCTCAGATCATTGGCGGTCGGATGAGTTTAGTCAGTCGAAGATATCGAAAAAAAGAAACCATAATGTGTCATTGAGCCAGAAGCCTTGTTGAATAGCGGTCGTAGTCCAACAGCGAAAAATAAACCAAATCCTCATCCCGTTATGGAGAATTGCCTTTAATCGGTTCGTATCACTGTGTCTACTTGTCTTATTGAATGCAAAATATCAAAGAACAATGTTTGAAGGTATGACTGTTGACATGAAGGGGATAACGAACCTGTTCGCTCTAGCCTCCTAGGCCTTGCTCGTTTGTTATCAGTCCCTGTCACAAATCACCTTCGGTCCCTTCGTATCCTACACCACCTATCAAAGTGCTCCACCGTTAATATGAAAGACGTTGTAGATCTGACGACTATCTATGGCTTGTTATCTCTAACAGTTGTTATCAATCTTTGTCACTGAACATATACGGTCCCTTCCTAATCCTTATCCCTTACTTAAGTACCACTGCCCCAGCATTAATACGAAGGAGGTGGCAAATCATGCGGCTCTCGCCTTCTAAGGTGCTTTATCACGTCCTTCCAATTGTTATCACCTCTATCACATATCATCAGTGTTCCCATCTTGCCCCCGTACTCCTACCAAGTTTGAAAGCTCTAGGTCCACGGGGCAGGAGTCATGAATTTCCGGTCGGACACACACACTGACACACGCACACACAAACACACCGACAAACCAACAGACACACCTACAATTTATATATAGTAGGATTGTTGAATCTTTACTCTGTTGTCACCAAAGCCTTTGAAGCCAGTTGACCAACCCCCATAAGTTGTGCTCACCCTTTCCCCGACTACGATACACCGCAGTGCCTACATTTCAATGCACCATGAGAGTTCATTTATGTACTACTACGGAATTTGTGGTACTATACCCAGATAAGCCATGTATTCGCCTATTCACACACTCAGCGAAGCACTCAGTCCGTTGTTCTCAATCATGCCTTTCGCTTTAACCATTATGTGGGGAATGCCGTGATTCTTTTCACTCCCGTAAACCTATCTCGGCGAGGATGATTACCATCCATCCATTCCTGTGAGATGAAGCTCAAAGGCTTGAACAACCAAATCTAGGACAGTGAAACGTCTCAAATCGCTTTTCATCGGTGGATCTCCAACCACTTGTTATCGGGGTGGAACCCTGAGAGAGAGAGGGAATCGGTTGTGTGTTGCTTTGAGTAAGCACGTGAGCGCTTTCATAGATGCCCAGTCGTTGTCACACTAATACATTTATATGTGAGCAAAGGAATTCATGGGCCTGATTTTTACTAAAAAAATCTCTCGTTCTGAAGGAAGAACTAATTTAATCCCAGCCGTACCCTTTTCGGCGCAGGAATGTTTTCTTGCTGGCTTCCCGAGTAGATGAAAATGCTGAATTAACAAAATATCATTTGTTTTACATTTCGAATACCATGCTTTCCCGAGATTCTGACAGTAAGTGAAGAATAGCGTGCTCCAGAGTAAAGGCCGCGTACAAATTGTTGGCGGCAAGAATGGCGCTTTGAATTTGTCTCGCCGGGGAGATGATTACCTTCAAGAATCATTCAACTACGGTTATTTGTATGTACCAGTTACTTACTAGTTATGTACCAGTTACATCTTATCTATTTATTGGCAGCTGGCCCAGCACCCAAACGCTTTTGCATTTGCAATTTGATTTGTCTCGATGCCATCTCATATTGTACATTAAGAGCACAATCGTGAAAGAGGTAGGAGTGGAGTGCACCACCGGATCAACAAGATTCACGAGAAGAATTGATACAAATTTATTTAAGAAAGAAACACAGAACAATTAATCAACACGAAACAAAAAAAACGCAAATTACAGACAAAGTTTAGATCAATTCCCACAGATCGCTTGCTTGCAAGGTAGTCGAAGAGAGAGTTCGCTGCGCGGTCCCCTGAACCCACTCGTACTGGTATCGTGTATTCCAACTCAATTGCCCCGAAGGGATACCTCGGAACCTACGCTGGATCTCGGCCACTGAGGCCGCTACTACTCGTGCCACTAAGGCTAGCTCTGGCCACTAAAGCCCTACGACTATCTGGCTACGGCCACACAGGCCTTCAAATAGGGATCGGCCACACAGGCCCTTAAAATATGAACTGGCCACGAAAGCCACACAGAGAAGAGATGAGAGGAGACCTCACCTCAGACGAGCACACGCGTCCACACCCTCACTTACTCAACCACCCTACTCGATACCTTCACTTCCCCGCGCGATCACTTTCTGACCTCCTATGATCACCCTTAATACGCCTTGCGTTTAGGGGGTCACCCATCCGTGCGGTCTCTCTCTTCGGCCTCTACCGACACGCCCCCCCCCCTCGCGGTTGTCGATGTCCTCATCGACCGTTCTGTCTCTAAAAAGGGTAACTGAAACCGTGGCACTCTGCAGCGAATATTTTCGTACAAATACTTAGCCGCGGCCACTCCGGGGTACAACCTGCGATGCTTCTGCGATGCGAAAAACTGCGATGCCGTTTCTGGGCATCCTGCCTCTAAAAAGAGTTTTCCATCGCAAAGCATATTACTCGCCATCGTGACAATTTGATCAGGCCCAGCGAATTTCCTGAGCGTCGCGTCGATTGTACTCCATAATTGGGACATAGAAATCCATTCTGCAAGCGTTTTTGCTGTCACCGGAGTCCAAACGGTGACTATCCTGCCACCCTCCTCCAAATGAGTTTTTGCGATCTGCACGGTCTCCTCGATGGTGGAACCTTCCGCTTTACACTCCATTGGCAGCACTATTATCCATGTAGCATACGTGGTCCAGTCCTCGAGAGTGTTCCTCAAACTTTCGAACAACTTCACGACTCTGGCATAAACGCCTCCTCGGGGCCCATCTTTTTCAAGAAGATCTGGTGCGGCAAACCCCATCGGCCCAATTTTCCGTGGTCGTGCGGTCTGAGCTTCTTCCTTCAAGTCCTCTTTGACTTTTTCGAAAGCAACTTCATAGAATTCCTCCACGTTGTGGTCCTCGATCCGGGGGTGCTTCGCGATCGCCTGATTTCCACATACGAATTCCGTCCAATCTGTACACTGGTCGTAGGCCAGTCTCAATATCGCGCACAAGACCTGAGTTTCGAGCATGACAGCGCGCTCGTTGGGGAGACGAATCTTCCCCGTAATCGACAAGTCGCTCCTGATAAAAATGGAAGCTATTCTCCATGCTGCCCAAACATTTTCAAACGGCTTTCGAGCAAAAGCTCCAGGGAATGGTATTCCTTTTATGTCCCCGAGTTTTGTGTTCCTGAAGCAGTCCAAACACTCGTACAGCAAATGTCCTTTGTCGGTCACACTAGTGATGGTGGCTCCTCTGAAAGAAGTACATTTAATTTTTGCCACCTTCACCTTACTTTTTCTGCCTTTACGCCCTCTTTCGTGTACAGTATCAATTCTATCGTCCGAGGTGGTCATAGGCACTATTCTCAACATATTAAATTGAACCCTAATCGGTTCGCTATTTTCCCCTATTCTGGTCACAAGGGCCGAATTGCTGCTTGTCTCAACTACCCTGAAGGGCCCTGCCCATTCACATACTAGTACAGGATGTGCGTTTCGCGCTTTCTCATTGGGCGAAAAGACATATACGCGGTCTCCAACCTTTGGGTACCTCCTGCTCTCCACTTTGTGCTTGTCATCGTAACGCTGCTTCATCTGTTGTCTAACCCGACTGTTATACTCCTCTACCCTCTCGTGGGTTTCCGCAATGGCTTGCAATACTTCCGTTTTGTAATCTCCCAAAGACTTATCCATAGATACCAACTTATACCTGCATTTGGTAATACTTCCGACGGAAATACTAGATCTATGCCATGAAGCAGAAAATAGGGGCTTTCTCCTGTCGCACTGTGCGGAATCATATTGTACGCCATAATACAAAATGGTAACCTGGTATCCCATTTTGTCGGAATACATTTCCTCAACATGGCTACGATGGTTCCGTTCAACTTTTCCGTTAACCCATTCTCCCTGGGGTTATATCCTTTCGTCGTTATGTGTTTGATTTTCGCAATTTTTGTAATTTCCTGCATTACTTGGTTCACAAACTCTCGCCTTTGTCAGATAGTAACGTCTTTGGCCACCGACACCCGTCGGCGATCCATCTGAAGAACACGGTCCTTGCAGTGGTCTCTGCCGATTTATCCGGCACAGGGTATGCAGCTGCATATTTGGAAAAATGGTCTATCACTGTTACAGCGTACCTATTGCCTTTAGTGGTTGGTCCTAACTCAAGCACATCAACTCCCACTACTTCATATGGTTTCGATGTAACTACGGGCTTTAGCAGAGGGACCAACGCCTCCCGAGGGTTGTGCACAAAACATTTCTGGCACTCTTTTGTCCATCTATGCACATCCTGTACCATTCGTGGCCAATATACTTCTTTAAGCAACCTTCCCACTAGCTTCTGTGCACTAAAATGGCCTGCGAACAATCCGTTGTGTGCTTCATGGTAAACTTCATACCTGTGCGTTTTCGGAACAACATACACCGTTCTGCCATCCTCCCGATACAACTTCAACTCCCCTTCTTCCAAGGCGAAGTCAGCTATTCGTATTGGTCGTTTTTCTCCGGCAAGCCGCACTATGTCTTCCGTTTTCCCTTCATCTACCAGTCTCACTACTTGCCCTAGCTGCGGGTCGTTTCTTAATTCTGCCAGCCACTTAGACTCCTTAGCAGTCAGAGAGTTTACGACCGCCTCATTCAGACCCTCCAGAGAATCCTACTCCATCGATACGGGTATTCCTCTACTCAGGGCATCTGCCAACGCATTTGCCTTCCCCTTCACGTACTGTATCTCGAGATTATACCTCTGGAGCTCGAGAGACCATCTTAAGACCCTTGCTGACACGTTACTACGCTTGAACAGTGCAGTGAGGGGCTGGTGGTCGGTCAACACAACGGTTGGAAGACCATAGATGAACACGTGGAACCTCCTAATCGCGAAAACTACGGCTAGTGCCTCCAAGTCCGTTATATGGTACCGCCGTTCCGCCTTACTTAGACTCTTGGATGCGAAGAAGATGGGATGTACTTGCTTATCCTCCCCTTCTTGCGATAAAACTGCACCTAACCCATAAACCGACGCATCTGTACAGATAATGAATGGCTTTCCTCTTTCCGTGCTCCTTCTATATCTGGTTGTTCGAGCACTGGAGCTGTGCTAATCATTTCCTTCATCCTTGCAAATGCCTCCTCGTGCTCTTTCTCCCAAGACCACTTACACTTCGACGATGTCAGATTGAAAAGGGGTCCCGCTTGCTGGGAGAAACCGAAACAGAACTTCCTGTAGAACGATGCCATGCCGAGGAACGTCCTTAGTTCTTTCACCCCTTTAGGGGCAGGGTAGTCGCGAATCGCTGACCCCTTATCAGGATCCATATGAACCCCTTCCTCATCCACGATATGGCCGGAAAACGACACCTTCCTTCTTAACAGATGGCACTTCTGAGCCTTTAGCCGTAGCCTCGCCTCCTTCATTCTCTCAAATACCTGCACTAGCTACTCCAGGTGCCGCTCTTTCGTGGTCATACACACCATAATATCGTCGATATAACAGAACACCTCTGTCCCCAGAAGGTCTCCCAAAACAGAGTCCATCAACCTCTGAAACACTGGGGGACTCGTGCTCAATCCAAACGGCGTCACTTTAAATTGAAACAGTCCTTCCGGTGTCGTGAAAGCAGATTTCTCCTTCGCTTCTTGTGCCAATACCCACTGCAGAGATCCAAGGTTGAAAAATACCGTTTCCCCGAAAGACTCAGCAGAACTGCCTCTATGTTGGGAAGTGGGAATGCGTCCAGCTTGATTTTCTTATTTAGTTCTCTATAGTCAACACGTAGCCGGATACCGCCGTCCTTCTTTTCAACCAGCACAATCGGAAACGCCCATTCCGACTTACTGGGCTCTATCACATTCCTTTTTACCAAGTCCGCTAAAAGTTCTCTCAACTTGGATCTTACCCCTAGTGGGACCGGTCTTGCTCTCATTTTTATTGGGCGAGTATCTCCTGTATCTATATCCATATGTACCAGGTCCGTTTGACTCAGTTCCTGGTCTGAGACAGCAAATGCCTCTGCATGCTCTCTTAACAGTTTCTGAAGATCTTCATCTATTTTCCCTGACTCCATATTACTCACTAGTACTTCTTCCAACACACGCACTCTCTCCGGCTCGCTGAGGCTGCATTCTCTGCCGTCCAACGATAGTTGGTTCTCTTCTTCCCCTCGTTCGACCCACTTGTCTGTTCCCCACCAACCAATCTCTTCGCCCTCTTTCCAGAGTATAGGCTGGCAACTCTTGTTAAATAAGGGGATTGATGTTCTCCGATCTTTAATGGTGAAGACTCCCGCAACCACGCCTTGCTTACTCGGCCAGATCATCCTTTCTACTTCGCCTTCTTTATCACCTTGACATACCACCTCTACCAGAGCCGTGTCACCTGGGGGTATATAGCGTCTCTCCGCTGCCACAACCCTGTTTCCTTCTGCCTCTTTCACTGAGCTCTTGACTGGGCCATCCTGCTCTTTTCCAATCGCTATGTTGATACCCAGGCGAGCCAAGGCATTGGTTCCTAATACATATTATCTCCATCTCCTTGCTCGGGCTGATGTGAAACGCTATCTCCTGGGTCGTCCCTTGTTCCATTTTGGCTTGCAAATAAACGGCCGCAAGAAAATCCATCCTATTATTTGATGCATCGACGACTGGCTTTAGCTTTGATTTAGGCACCATAACCAAAGAATCCAAATCAAAACCTTTATCTCGGGCTTTCGCCAATAGCTCCCCTGGGACAATACTTATCATCGATCCCGTGTCAATTAGCGCCTCACACTTTTCATCTAGAAGTTGAAGGGATACCGTGACCCTGTTTCCTACGAGATCGTCCACCGGCACGCTCTTCTCTCTCACTGCCAACCCCATGCATCTAGCACTACTCACAATAGCCGACAGTGGCTTATCCTTCCGAGGGGGTGGTACGTCCCTCGGCTCAATTTGGTTTACTCTAGCCGTCCGCACTGGACAATCCCTTGCCACATGCCCATATTTGGAACACCGATAGCATTTCCTATTCTCTACACCCTCCTGCGAAGGTTCATGCTGGTTGGCTTCGCATTCCGCACCTGTCTCTGGGATTCCCTGTTGCTACTGGCTTGGTAGTTACCTCGTCTACCACTTTCTCTTACATTTGCCGACGCCTCTCTCATTTGTTCTGGCCTATTCCGGGCATAACTCGTCTCTCCTGCTCTCTCCACCGACCAGTGGCTGCGATAGTGTGTGGCTCTTTCTTTCCACTTCGAGTCTGCTGCCTTTCTACCGCAACCAAACATAATTTTCGATTGCTCTATGCTAAGAGCCAATTGTTTCACTTTCTCATATGCCCTCAGTGGGTCTACCCTATGCAATGCCCCTACTAATTGAAAATGTTCAGGCCCCTCTCTGAGGTTGTCCAACAAAATTTGCGCGTACTCCAACGATCGATCTTCGATCGTGCATTCTGGGTTGGCCTGTCGTCCTAGCTTCTCCAATACGGCGCAGAATTCGGCTACTTCCTGATGCGGTCTCAACTTGAGATTCCGCAACTCCGTGAGTGCCCTCATCTGACCTGCTGTTGAGTCATAGGATAAAAGCCTGGCCATTTCCCTTGTCACTGCATCGAGCCCCTGCTCTTTCGTTATCCTCGGAAGAGCCGCGAATATGCTTTTTGCCCTCCCTGCCAAGCGGTCATCGCTTAATATTTCTATGAGGGTTGCTTTGCATTTGATTACTTGCTCGTACTTCCTTTTAAACCTTCTCAGGAACTCTTCAAAACTTTCGCCCTTAGTGCCTCTGAACACCCCGGGGTCACTACATGCCATCGATCTTAGGTACATCACCAATTGCTGAGAAATAGACGAACCTGCGTCTTCCAACGCCGGTGCTGTCGAAGCTATCGATGTTGAATGTCGCCTCGAGCGATCTGCATATATCTGTCCAGTCGAAGGCATCTGCAACTGACTGTTGTAAGCTTCTTCACCCACACTGCTTGCCTCGACTGTCCTACCTTGAACCTCCATTGCTTCATCTTTGCGCCCAGCTTCACGCTGAAGACTCGCCACGTTTCTTTTTACCTGCAATACATCTGTGTTGAGCATTTCACAAATGCCTGCTAACACTTCTCCATCTCTTTCCGTAGTATTTATGTATTCGTGCCACTCTTCACATGACTCAATACCTCTCTGAGTCAACATTTTACTCACCTCTCTCTCCAACTCATGGGGAATCCCTTTCTCACTACTGTTGTCCGTGGTCACACCTTCCATCCCTTCCAGTTTCTTGAAGGCGGCCAAAAACTCTTTTTCGATTTCCGTTCTTTTTTCCTTTGATACGCGGGACTCGCACAAAATCTCGCCTACTTTCTTTTGTAACTCCCCTAGCAGGGCCACACACCTGTCCCTCATGTCTGTTTTCCTCTTAGGCGAAAGCAACAGACTCTTTCTTACCTCCGTGGGATCCACATTTTCGGCCATCTCTTTGCTAACACAATCTTCAACGGGGAGGGGGCTCTGCCTAGAATCGTTTATCTTATTCTCCTTTTCTACTGCCCAGTGACACAGACTCACGCAATTGCGGCCCGGTGCGCTTGAGTGGTTCTTGCTTTACCACTTTGTAACAAAAAACTCGGCTACCCTTGCTTTGCGGTAGTCTCGAGTGCCACACAACTGGTCAACACGATCAATGCACCACAAAGTCGAATAAAAAGAAAACAAAAATCGCGATTCTATCACGAACTCGAAAAACGAAACAAAAAAATTTCGATTTAAACGATTCACGCGCAAAAGAGAAACAACCAGATGCGGATGTTCGACGTCTGGCACGCCGCGCAATCAATAATCAATATGACGTCACGATATCTACACTCCAGGCACTACCCAATCACGACCGGTTCGGCCCCCATGTACATTATGAGCACAATCGTGAAAGAGGTAGGAGTGGAGTGCACCACCGGATCAACAAGATTCACGGGAAGAATTGATACAAATTTATTTAAGAAAGAAACACAGAACAATTAATCAACACCAAACAAAAAAAAACACAAATTACAGACAAAGTTTAGATCAATTCCCACAGATCGCTTGCTTGCGAGGTAGTCGAAGAGAGAGTTCGCTGCGGCGGTCCCCTGAACCCACTCGTACTGGTATTGTGTACTCCAACTCAATTGCCCCTGAGGGATACCTCGGGACCTACGCTGGATCTCGGCCACTGAGGCCGCTACTACTCCTGCCACTAAGGCTAGCTCTGGCCACTAAGGCCCTACGACTATCTGGCTACGGCCACACAGGCCTTCAAATAGGGATCGGCCACACAGGCCCTTAAAATATGAACTGGCGACGAAGGCCACACAGAGAAGAGATGAGAGGAGACTTCACCTCAGACGAGCACACGCGTCCACACCCTCACTTACTCAACCACCCTAATCGATACCTTCACTTCCCCGAGCGATCACTTTCTGACCTCCTATGATCACCCTTAGTACGCCTTGCGTTTAGGGGGTCGCCCATCCGTGCGGACTCTCTCTTCGGCCTTTACCGACAATATTAAATTGTCAAGTTTATTGAGAAAACAATGTTAATCAGTTCAAGTACAATAATTGTGACCGGGATGTATGAGATGTTTTCTAAACATGACAAGGATTTCCATTGTCCTCGTTTATACGAACCGTACGCTGGACATGCATTATAGTTATAGCTTTTGTTGCCATTAACACAATCAATAATCATAGTTCTAAAGAGGACGAATTTGTTAGAAAGAATTTGTAATCTGTTCAGTATGATAGAGAACACTCTACTACTTACTATAGACATATATTGATATTTTGAATCGCTTTTCGGGCAATTCAGAAGTTTTTCTCTCTGTTTATCATCATTGTTTACCTTTCCAAAAGATTATAATGATTAATTTGGGAGCACATTAAGATGCCGGTATTGTTGGGGAATGATAGTAGTACTTACTATCATGCCGTATCACTGTGTATAAAAGAGTGTTCTGTTTAGTATGGTTCATTCTTTCTGTGCTAACTCCAATGAAGAATTCACGGTCGTCTGTGGAGTTACAACGAGTAGCGATCAGGGCCAGGATCGAAGAAACAGCGAAGACTTCAGCGGCGAAGCTATCCCAGGAAGATACGGAAACAAGATGTCCAAATCATCTGGGGATGGAGCTGCCCCTACTCACACCACACACCTCGAGGTACTAATTCAAACTATGATACAACAACTACAGTTGCAGCATGAAGAGATGAAAATGTTGTTATCCCCGTTGGTGTCGAACAGAGGAGGCGCACAAGAGACCCAGAAGAGCCAACATGACCAGTTAAACAAGAATGTCGAGAAGTTTGTGGCAGATGAAGATGCTGGACAGACTTTTGACTAATGATGCCGCGTATCGTAAGTATGCAGATGATATTCTCCCTTCACAACCGCACGAGATTGACTTCAATACGACGGTGAGGAATCTTCAAAAGTTTTTTACATCCAAGAAAACTTTGATACGTAGACGTTACGAGTGCTTGAGGATAACGTGTCCTCTTCTCACTCAAGATAACGTACCGTTTCGTGATTATGCGAATACAATTAAAAGGATGGATGAAGATGCTGCGTTGAAGGGGATGGATTACAAGTCAATGAAGACCCTGCAGTTCGTGGCGGGACTTCAGGACCCTTAATTACGGGAAATACGTCTCAGAATGCATCGTCGACTTGATACACAAGCAGAAGACGCACCGCTCACAATCGAAGATCTCGTTACAGAATGCGAAAATAGCACAACATTGAAGGTGGATAACGCAAACATGGAAGCAAGCCATGATGTGCATGCCGTGCAGAAAAAGAAGGTCGAATGCTTCAAATGTGGAGGACCACATAACAAAAGCCTCTGTCCTCTCCTCATGAAACAGTCTCCGAAGAAACCGAAAAGGATACACCACCGGCACAAGAGGAATAAATGCAAAAATGTTGCCGCATTCTCCGGTGAGCACGCTAGGACATACATATATCAACGTTGATGTCCGAGCACACAAACTACGGTTCCAATTGGACACTGGAGCAGATATAAGGTTGATATCGCGTCAGACATGGAAAGGCTAGGATTTCCTTCTTTGGAACCCTACACTGTGCCAGTCAAGACGGCAGATGGGTCGTCAATGAAAATAATTGGAAGATTTCATACAGAGTTCTCTGTGAAAGACCGCATCCGTGGCAAACAACATTACGGAAATGGCTACTGCTACATTACAGAGAGCACAAACCTACTTGGTTTAGAGTGGTGCACTCAACTCCCTGCATATAAAGAGTTGCAGGAGAAGTATCATTACCGAATGGTAAGGGAACCAGAAGCTCTCAAGAATTCCTTAGTTGCAGATCTGAGGAAGCAGTGCGCTGAGGTCCTCGAGATGTCGTCGACCACAGTAAAAGCAACTTTGAGAGCTCAGAATGCTATTAGCATGGTTCGAGAATTCAAGAGTGATTAATGTGTGAGGTAATAGGGCACAGTTCACATCAGAAAAGTTCCAAGAGACTTGTGATAATCAAGGAATAAAGCATTCCCGATGTACGCCTCTCCAAGGACAAGCAGAGCGTCTCGTCAATACTGTGAAGAGATCCTTACCCAAATCAAAGGAGAGAGACAAGTCAGAACTCCTTGCAGAGTTTTTGAAGTGCTATCGAAGTACGGAGTGTACCACGACTCCCAAGCAACTTTCACAAGCAGAATTATTGACGCTGCTGAAGGAAAAGGGACCACGCAAGACAGTGGTGGAAAGACAGTACAATCTTCACCACGGAGCACGCGAAAGATCGTGCCACATTGGAGATCTTGTCTAAATTCGGAACTGTCGTCGTGAACAGCAGAAGTGGATTCCTGCCCACGTGAAAAAACGTTATGGACGAATATTGTACGACGTTCTAACGGAAGACGGGCAGCTGTGGAGAAAATACAGGGTGGGCCAAAATTATGATTACACAGAAATCACATCGCAGAAAACGAATAGAAAGCCAATAGAGCAAACCAATTTCATTAAAGGGTTTAGCACAAATTTGTTATCAAAACTGTACATTGAGACTGGGATCTGTTGCTTTCTGCTTTCACCCAACCCCAAAGACGACGATGGACGGCATTGACGGTGGCACGCAGCTAGGATCATCGAAATGGTCCCGGCTTTTTGCTAAGCATTTTCGAGATTATTTCTTCTCATGTTTGGGCTAAAGGATGCTTTCATCTCAGAGGCTGACAACTTGAGACATTCAAGGGATTTAGGTCAGGGCTACAGAGTGGTCACTGATCGAAGGTTATGAAGTCAAAGAACCCCTTTCACGAAATTTCTAGACAATTTCTGTTCTGCGGTCAGCAGCTTCATCGTGACAATATAACCGGTTCGAATCATCGAAGTGTCCTATTGCGCACGAAGAGAACAAACAGGCCTTCAAACCAACTTCCACTCCATAATTTACAAAAATAATCGGTGTCTTTGCCCCGGCGGTGATGCTGGTACACGCCATCACAGAAAGTTAGTGAGCCAGGCGCTGTATCACTTTCATTTCTTTAAGCTTCATATAAATGTTATCGCTCTACTTATTGAGCACCTATTTCACTGTGAATCTTTTCTCGTCGGTGAACAGGAATTCCGTAGGACAATTTTTTCGGATGCGACAGGCAGCTTTTGTTAGCCAACCTTTCTCTTCCCTTTAACCTGCTCTCTGAGGAAATCACTTTCCGACCGTATAGGGGTCTCGTTGTGCAGGTGATGCTTCACGATTTCACGCAGAAAATTTCTTGACATATCCATTCATTTAGCCTTTTTGGACTCAGAATGAATTTTGCTGCTACGTAGACCTTTGCCCTGCTTCCTTAAAACTTCCCTTAAATATAACCACAGCTTTCCTAGGTTCACCACTCCTATCTGCAATTGTTCCCAACTCTCGAGAGCGTCTTATGGTTGAATGCAATACCTGCCCTGTTTCGCTAGTTCGTCTGTAGATGCACCGTGCCAAAAGTGTTTGTAAATGCAAAGCGACGCTTAATTCATGGACTAGTTACACTTATATTATGTTTAAAATCTACCCAAAGTTTAGTATCATCAGGAAGGTAATAACGTAAGCTACTTTGTGAAATAGAAGAAATTCAATGAATTGTTATGAACATAGAAAAAATTTGCAATGAACGTCAGCGCGCGCTGTAATCATAATTTTGGCCCACCCTGTACACCAACCAAATGCGAACCAGATCACAACGAAGTAACACTGATCAAGCAATGAAAACAGTTGGTGAACCGTCTCAACATGAAAATCCACAAGAAAAGTATAATGAAGTGCACAATGAAGAAGTGCCAACCACAAGAGATCCGAGCGATGAAATTATGGATCTAAATGCAACCGCCACAGTAATGGATAGAATGAACCGACAACGGCGTTCACCCGATCGTCTTCAAGTACGCCCGAGGAAGAAGGCATATATGTGATACATTCATCATAGG